TCGGCCATGGTGGCCAGCCCCCTGGCAGGTTCAGTCAGCAGTGCCTTCCGTGGAGAAGCCGACTGCTCTGGAGAACTGTGGGTGCCACTTGTAGGCAGGACGGGGGTCACCTGTCTCCGCTACTCTGCTCTGGTCCCCACATCTGTAAAACGGAAGCAGGCATAAATTTTGAGTTTGAGCTGGAAAGGTGAACCCGGAGCATGCCCTGGCCCTAGGAGCCTGAGTGTCGTAGCAGGTTGTCATGCAAACCTGGAGCCCAGACACAAGCCGGTGAGCCTTGCAGCCCTTGAGTTACTTAAAGTAGGTGCTGGGGGGTGTGCCACTTAAAGTAGGTGTGCCACTTTAAAGTAGGTGCTGGGGGGTGTTTCTGACCTGAGTGACCAGCAGCAGGGTACCAGGTGCACTGCATTGGACCATTCACGACTGTCATGATGCCTCTGATGTGGTGCCCGGGTGTGTGGATGCCAGATTGGAAAGATGCTCCATATGAATGAAGGAAAACAGCCTCTGGGCCTCAGTTTCCTTCACCGTAGCATGGAGAGTGTTTATTTGACCAGCAATTGTTGAGCTCCCTTTCTGGGGACAAATGCCAACAGTCCAAGCTGTCATGATGTGCCCCAACCCCCCAGGCGGCAACAGTGAGCCATTCTGGTGGAGGGGAAGGGGTCCCCCGGCTGCCTGGAGGAAGCAAGTTCTGAGTCACCCAGAGAACGGGGGAGAAAGCCTGCTAGAGGCTCCTTCCTGTTCTTCCCTGAACCTGTAGCAAGAGACTCTTGCTGGGAGGTTTGTTCTGGGGTTCTACCTCCCCTAGAGCCGCCCGGCAGTCCTTATCCACCCATTTGTGAGAAACTGAATTACAGAGGTGAAGCAGCTGGTTGGGAATCCCCAGGACTTGAGTATGGAGACCCGACAAGGGTCTGTTTCCCTGAGGCTAGGGCACGCTCAGCCTGGGGGTTTTGGTTTCAGTTTCCAGACTGGTCTCCACTTCACCCTGTGGCTTGGTGCTCAGGTGACTGTCCCTCTATACAACAGGGAGGAGTCCAGAATTCCCGCTCATCCTCATCTGGTTCAAGGTTTGGGAGCAACCTTCTAGGTCAGGATGAGGCCTCAGGGCCTAGCTCCTCCCCTCAGACTCTCAATGGTAGGCCTGACCCAGGAGAGTCACATTCCCTCCATCTCAGCGTCTGATTTCAAGGGAGGGGAAGATAGCCACTAGTCAGAAGTCTGAGGACAGTGCAAAAACACCGTGGGGCAAGACAGTGTCAGAGGGCACAGTTGGTGGGCCTGTTTTCTAGCTGGTCAGGGGGGCAGTGGAGGCCTGGCACCTACCAGGTTCCCATCAGGACACTGCTTCCCCATCCCATACTCTGGGGACTCCTGTGGGTGCCAACTGAACTTACAAAGGACTTATTAGATGTCTAGGTGAGTGGTGTGGGCTAAGCTGGGCTGTATCCAGGCTAAGTGGGCCAGGTGGGTAAAGGAGGACTCCAGTTGGCTATGAGGGGTTTTTCCCACTGCAGCTCTGGGGGTGTAGTACCATTGACTTTTTGCTGTACAACTGTCCTATGCACTGTGGGTCTTGGCATCCTGGCCTCAGCCCACAAAATGTGATCAGCATCTTTAGACATTGCTGGTTATCCCCAGATGGGCAAAACTGCCCCAAATTGAGAGGGACTGAGCCCAGCCCTGGCCACACGGCAAATGAAACTAGGTGGTGTTGGTTACGAAGCCAAACCCTGCCCCGAGTTATGTGTGACTCCAGGTCCCCAGCTCAGCCAGGCAGAATCACTAGAGCACAAGGGCAGCATTGTGGGTTGGCTGAGGCTGGTGCTAGAGAGTCTGTGAGTCCCGCCGGGTAGAGATGATCCAGCCTCATAGTTGGTGATGAAGGTCCAACAGGGCAGTAAGTCTCAAACTCAGACTAACATGGGTTCCTGTGAGCAGCTGTGGACAGAACAGTGGGCCCAGCCTACAATAGGGGAAGGATGGCCCAGGTGCCCACTAGATTCATGGGAAACAGATCTGTGGGGAAGGATGAGGGAGTGGAGGTCCAGGTAGAGAGGCCCACCCAGCCTGGGCTATATCCACAATACAGCCAGCTTGGGACTGGACAGGCTGAGTGGGGTCCCCTGAGATGTCAGTATCGCACTGGCTCTACCTGGTTCCCCCATCCATGTGCCCCCAAGACCCTTTCTCTCTGTGGGTTATTTAGTGGCAAAAACAATGTCAGTCTTGTGTGTTCCCAAGCCTCCACCATGGGGCCACCTCCAACCTGAGTACAAGCAGCTGGGAATTGGCATCACTGTCACAAATAGGTCTGCAGCCTCTGCTGAGTGGCCCAGGCCCAGTTTCTGCTCCTTTGAACTGTGCCAGTTGGTCCTCTTCTGGGAGACACAAGTCAAGGCGGGTCCAGGGCAGATAAAGTGACAGCATCAGGCATTCACCTGTCAGTTTGGAAACTGAGCACTCACTGTTTATGGGAGCATAAGAAGAAATTGCCCCAGGAATCCCAAAGGCTCACAAACTTGCAAGGAGACAGTGGCCGGGCTCCCAGATAGAGATCCTACCACAGGTGTGTTTGGAGGAGCGTCTGAGCTCTACTGAACCCAGGCTGCCTGAAATAGGGGGCAGACGCAGATCCTGTGGCATATATATGTAGGATTGAGCACCACCCCCCTCCCAAACCCTCGCTCTCAGAAATACTGTTGCACGACTGACATGGCTGGCATTTCCCTGAGGTGACTAGGAGCCTCTGCCTTGTCATGGTGAGTGGGGAGTCAAGAGTCAGAAACTAGCCACCCTGGAGGAAGGTCTGCCCCATGGAGACATGGGTTGGGCAGGGGATCCAGAGCCCCATAGGGCTCTGTGCTCTTGGGTTCTGTGGACCTCCCAGCAGCAGTAGAAGCTAAAGCAGACGGCTAACCGTCCCCAGCAGATGTTTGAAAGCCTGATACCGAGAGACCAAGGCCAGTGGGAGACAAGGCGAAGCGGGAAAGTGAGAGCAGGAGCCAGGGGCCAGCAGCAGCTAGCAGAAACCCGTGCAAGAGAAAATTTGATTCTTACCCTCCGAGTTAATAGAAGACGTTGCATCCATAAAACAAGAACAGGAATGAAGAACGAAGGAGCGAGAAAGCTCCTTACAGGGCATAGAAATAACAAACAGTTGAATGAGGGGAAAGGGGAAGGTTGGGTGGAGGCTAGCTCCCAAAGGTGGATGAAGAGACGGAAAAGATAAGAAATGAGGGCTTTTCAGAGGCCTCAACTCAGGAGTGTTCCAGAAAGAGAAAATAGTGGAAGAAATTACCCAAGAAATAGCTAGCCGAGCCCAGTGACCCAGACCTCTGGCCCTGGCTTCTGGGAAGGACTGAAGCAGGAGGACAACGAACTCAAGCCCTGCCGGGCTACAGAGGGCGTGCCAGGCCAAGCCGAGCAACTTAGTGAGAGGCTATCTCAAAAATAATTAAATAAATAAATGTAAGGTGAGGGGATGGGTTATAGCGCAGTGGTACAGAGCATCCTCCTAGCACGTGTGGGGCCCGAAGTTCAGTCTCCAGCACTGAGGGGGTTGGGGTAGGGGGCAGTTATCTAGAACATAATGCTAGACCATACAGACTTACAAAACAGGAGCTAGAATGTTAGGTCTGCCAGCACCTTGCTCTGTAAATGAATGTGGGGTCCACAGGGCCTGACTGGGGTGGGGAGGAGCACAGATCACCATCAGGGGACGAGAAACCTTAGCAGGGTACCAAGAGGCCTCAGCAGCATCCGGAAGAGAGAAGGTTGCTTCCCAATCCTAGAAGAAAATAATCCTCATTGAGAACTCTAAGCCCGCCCAGTTACCAGTCAAAGGAGAGGGAGAAGTGAGGACATTTTCAGGCAATCATGATCCTCCCCCAGCCCTGAGGAGCCCTGATAGCCTGAGAAACCCAAGCCAGGTCCGAGACCGTGTCTGGGAACACCCGGAAGTGCCTCCAGCACACAGGGGCTGGACTCTCAAAGAGCACTGGGGAAAAATTAACAGACGAGCCAGCTGTGGAAGGAAAGGAAATCATTAACAAGAGACTGTCCGGCCTGGCCTTGCGGTTCCTGGAGCACGGAACTGTGCAGCTGCAGCCCAGCCCCAGACCAGGAGCCTGTAGTGATGGCCTCTGGGACAAGGCAGCCTCAGAGGACATCTGACGTATATGGTAGGACTTTCAGTGCTGTCTGACTTTCAAATCAGTATTCAGGCCAGACAGGTACCCACAGGCATTAGTCTTGGGGGTCCTAGGCAAGGTGGTGCCCTAGGCCTTTGGGTGTGGTACCTGGCTGGGAAGGAGACCACGCCCAGCAATGGCTCACCTGACAGGTTCCCTTTGGGTACCTTCTGGCCCTGGAATGGACTTTGCTCTCTGCTGGGAGAGGCTACGGCCTGCCAGGGGCCGTGCCACCCACCAGGCCTGGGTGACCTGACTCCGGAACGATGAATATATGTTGGTGGGAACAGAGGTACAGAAAGGACCCCGGCCTTCTGTGGGGTGGGATGCTGTGTAAGGGACTTCACAGGAGATCTGTCCCGGGCCATCAGACAACTAAACTAAACAGACGTCTCCAGGCCTGGGTAAATCAGACAAGTTACTGTGAAGATAGGGCTGGGGACTGTGCAGCCCAATAGCACATCATAGATGCCAGCTCCTGGGGGAGGGCTGGTGAGCCTGTTGTCATCCTCAGCCACTATTTGGAATGTCCTGAGGAATGTGCCCTCCCGGGCTCACAGAGCTCCAGGCCTCAGCCTGCCCCTCCCCCCATACCCCCTCCAGACCCAGCAGCACTTCACTTCCTGGGATGGTTTTAGCTAAGAGTATCTATGCTGGGAGAGCCTAGGACTTCAGGGGCCCAACAGGGACACGTCCAGCTTCTTGAGTGCCTTGTGGACTACAGTCAGCCCTGCTCTGTCCCATTCTGGGAGGGACTGCTGGGCAGGGGCTTAGCACCAATCTGGGGTCTGGGCTATGCAGTGAGCATGTGGGGTAGCCTGAGGCTGTGACCTGCCTGGAGCTCCAGTGTTGTCACAGTGAGCCCTCAGTTCCAGAGACCCTGCCCTCATCCACAGCACGGGTCCACTCTGGCCATGACAGCCCCCCCCCCAACCTCTGGGTACCCTCTGGTGGCCTTTCCAGCCAGCTCAATCCATCTGGCTGTCAGGCAGGGCAGGCACCCACACCCTGGAATGCGATCCTGGGACAGCGCCCAGGTCAGATGGCGCTGCCTTACCCCCAGTGTGGGCAAGTGGTGTGGTTCCCCCTTTGTAGGACTCTTGTAATTGGGCTTCACGGTCTGTTTTGGTTGGTTTGGGCTTTTTGAGATACAGTCTCACTATGTAACCCAGGCTGACCTACCCCAGCCTCACCAGTGCTGGGATTATATGGTGAGCCTCCACAGCCCTCTTAGGCACCTGCCTTTTTTTTTTTAATGTGTATGAATATATTGCCTCCATGTATGTAAGTGCACCTGTGTCATACAGTGCTAGCGGAGGTCAGATGAAGGCATTGGATCCCCTGAAACTGGAGTTACAGATGGTTATTAGCCACCATGGGGGTGCTGGGAATCATGCCCAGGTCCTCTGCAGGGGCAGTGAGTGCTCTTAACTGCTTGAGCCATCTCTCCAGCCCCTCGCCTGTCATTTTTAACATATACAGAATTTTGAGCATATAAGAGGCCTCCTCAATGGTGGCTCCCCTGGCTCTTAGAAAAATTTAAGGGAAAATGGTTACAGAAGGGGATTTTCCCCATGTTGCTTTGGGGTCCTGTGAAGTCTCCTGAGCACCAGCACCTCCCCTTGTTGGTGCAGCATGAGGCGCTGAGGTTGATCTTTGATTGAGCACAGGCTTGATCAGCTCTCTGTGGCACTTGCAGACAGCCAGGCCTGTTGAAATGGACTTTGCAGGTTCCTGCTTATGAATCTGTTACGATATCCTCAGACAAAGGGCATTGCTCTTACTCGGCCCATTTTGCAGATTTAGAAACTAAGACCGAGAGGTGTCATCCCTTGATCATTGAAGACCCCAGTTCTCCTAGCCCCCGGCAGGGCGGCTTCTGACAAGTGTGGGAGGACTCCAATCACAGAGGTAAGTGGTGGGGCCATAGACGGCAGACCCTAAATGGACTAGCTGGTGCCATCGGCTGGTTCTCGTGAGTTCGGAAATGGCCCAGCCTGTGTAGGGGTAGAAGAGGCCCTGTCACTAGAATGAGTCTCATGCAGTGCTTCCAGACGGGCCTTCACTCCAGCTCCCGCAGTGTCCCAGTTCAGAGAACAGCTCTGATCACTTCAGTCCCTGAGCCTCAGGCCACCCAGGTTCCACCTACATGTGCCCCTGCCCAAGCCACATCCTTCCAGCCACATCCCTTCTGTTGGCCAAAGCCAGCCCTGGGGCTGTGCTGCACCCAAGGGGGCAGGATATGCTAGTGTTGAAAGAGGAAGTGGGGTGGGCTAGGCACTACTCAGGGCTGCCGCTGCTGGCAACTGGGCCAGGGCAGAAGGACGGGGGCAAGCTGGTGCCAGTGGAGAAGACAGAGGAGTGGAGATGGGCGTGGGACTCGGGAGCTGCCGAGAGGGACAGGCAGAGCTGCTGGGAGGTGAAGCATATGCAGTGGCTGTCGGCTCCTGCCCTGTGCCAAGCAGTGCACCCTGGGACTGTGCTCGGCAAAGGCTTGGTCACTGGCTGCCTTCCCACCTGCACAGTGACCCGGGGTCCTCCTTGGGCCATTGGGGCTCCCAAGACTGAGATTATTGACGCTTAACTTCAGAAATATGGAAAGTGCACTGTGTGTTGGGGCCTGCTAGGAGGATGGGTTCTGTAGACAGCCAGGCTTTGCTTGGGTCCCTGGGCAGCCCAGCCCCCTAACGGGAATGTGGAGCCAGGCAGGGCCATGGTCACACCACACTCTCTGATGCAGTCTCGGGAAGTCTCCTCACGATGGTATAACTTTCCTGGTGCTGACCATGGAAGAGGTGACAGGCATCAGTGAGTGACTGAGCTAGGATCCCAGTCCTAGTCTGCAGGGTCCCTGGGTCTAGCCATGAACCTAGCCCCATTTGCACCCATGCCCAGGATCTAGTAGGTGCTGTTAGAGAAAGCAAGGCGGCCCCTGACGCCCAGTCCAGCCATAGGCTGTTTGTACCAGATCTCTCATCTCAGAGAATAACTGCTTACCCAAGGGTCAGTCTCCATCCTCAAATGAGCCCAGAGATGGAGCAGATGGAAGGGGTATCTCCAGCTTCCTGGCACAGCTGCAGGCCAGCTGTGCCAGCTCCCAGGGGAGGTTCCTGGTAGCCAGTCATGTCTGGCCCCACTCTCAGCCTCTCTCCCACCCCCACCCCATCCTTGCACATGGCATCATGGGAGCCATTGGGACATATGCCAAGAGGCAGCAGGGCAGGGATGGACCCCAGAGAGGCTGCAGGCAGGAGACCCTTCTGAGCCCTTCGCCTCTTGCCTGCTTCTCCCTAGGCCCCCCTCTGCCACCCAGCATGTCCCACCGACACTCAGACAGCTCTTTGGATGAGAAGCTACTGGAATACCGTTTCCATGCCGAGCTACAACTTGATGCCAACGGAAACCCTGTGCCTGGGCTCCCCATGGTCCGGAGCTCCTTGAGAGCCAGGACTAATGCTGCCTTTGAGCCCGAGGCATCAGCACCCCTACAGCAGCCCCCGGAAGATGAGGAGAGGCGGCCCGTCATCCTGAGCACACAGAGCCCTGTAGCCCTCAAGATGGGTACTCAGCAGCTCATTCCCAAGAGCTTAGCTGTTGCCAGCAAGGCCAAGACCAAGACCCCAGCCCGCCACCAGAGCTTTGGGGGTGTGCTCAGCAAGGAGGCTGCACGCCGGGACCCCCGACTCCTCAAAGCTCCCAGTTTCTCCCTGGATGACCTGGACATGGACACAGGCACTGGTGGGAACCTGAGGAGAAAATTGAGGAACCAGTCCTACAGGGCAGCCATGAAGGGCCCGGAGACACCCGGAGGCAAGGGGGACTCAGTCCTGCTAGGCCCCAAGCTCCAGGCTCTGTCTGAGGAGGCCCACCAGCCTCCCCGGTGCCCACCAAAAAATAAGGTAGGGGTCTGCCCTGACCACGGGGCTGAGCATTTCCTCTAGATGCCTGCAGGCAGGAAGCCAGCCTGGCCCTGGGTCTCATCTGCATTGTGTATGGCCTGGCGTGCCTGCTGGGTGCAGGCTCCTGACTAGCTTGCTTTCGTTGCATCCATTAGTCACACGGTGAGTGGAAGCATCTCATCTTTCTGTTGAGGCTGGATTTGGCCATGTACCCAAGACTCTTTCACGTATGCATTTCCAGCCACGGGGGACAGCGGGGGAAACCAGCAGCTCTTGACCCCAGAGGACCAGCCTATTGAATGACACTGAGCCAGGCTACTGGTGGAATGGGGCCGGGGGGCAGTAGGCAGCCCTTACCACCTCTAGTCCGGGAGAAGTCTGACCCATCCATCTGCCCTGGGTGGGCAGAGCACTCATCCCTAGACTGATGCAGCCCCAGCTATTGACATCACTGTGACCCAGGAGAAGAGTCGGGTCCTAGACCTTTAGCTACCAGGCATCTGTTGTGGGCAGCCACAGAGCAGAAAGGCCACGGTCAGATAGAGGCCCCTCCTTTCACCCTTTGTGGGGCTTGCTCCTTACCTGGTTGTGGCGGGTCAGACTCCCAGTTTCAAAGGCTCTTAGTTTCGAAGACATGCAAGGCAGGAGGTACTGCTGAGCCTCTCCGCTAGGTGCTTCCCTCAGACTTGTCAAGGGCCGCCCCAGGCACAAGGCATGGCAGCCTCCATGAAGGGCCTGGCCTGGGTGGGCCTTTGTAGCTCTGTGTCCCCTAGCAGGTTCCTGACACTTCACCTCAGAGTCCCTGTGTGCAAGGAAAGATGGACACAGTCCTGCCCTAGCATACTCCAGAGATGAGTGCATGGCCTCCGTTGGCCTCTTACCCATTGCTGCGCATAACATCCCAGTAAAGGTGTTTGTTTACTTGGGCCTCAGCTCCCTAGACCCTGAAGTTCAGCCTGGCCTTGGGAGAAGCAGGGACACCTGTCAGAGATGGCCACCGGGAGGCAACGTGGCCAGGCCATGAGCTTCCACTGGAGGCCAGTGATGGCGGCAGCAAGACCTCTGTATGTCCGGTGCCAGCCACCGTCCTGCATCACTGTTCTCCCCTGCTGTGCCTTCCTGCGATGCCCAGACCTCTGATGTGCATCCTTATACCCCAGGAGCTGGGAAGGTGCTGCCACTGACTGGGGCACAGGCCTCCTCATCCCTTTGTTCATTCATTAACTCATTTGTCGGCCTAGTGGTGGTTTCTGCCTCTAAAACGCATTCCTGAGCATGCCCTGTGCTGGGGTACCAAGCTGCAGCCCCATTTTTGAGAGTTACCTTGTAGAGGGGTATAGGGAAGGTGCTGAGGCTGGCAAGGGACAGTGCAGGAGGCAGGAGGAGTCTAGATGAGAGGGTTCTCCACAGCCTCAGGGCCAGGAGGGCTGGAGTCAGAAGGACTGGGGCAGGGTGGAATGGTGGAGGTGCCAGGAGGGCAGGAGGAGGGAGCTAGGCCAGGTGGGGAGCACTGTACTTTCCCAACCTGTAAGGGGAGTTTTCAGGTCCCGACTGGTTTGGAGAAACCAGAAGCAACTAGCTTCTGCCTTGGAACCAGTGCCCCTGGTGAAAACCCAGTGTCCCAGCCAGAGAGTGGGGACTGTGGGGATTCCACTGTAGGGTGGGGACTCTCTAGAGCTCTGCCCCCAGTTGCCTCTAGCATCCCCTCCCACTTCTTCTAGGGCCCTGACCAGTACCAGGGCCAGACTCAAACCAGCAGCCCTCTGCCCACCTTCGCTTCTTTCCAGCCCCCCTCCCAACCCATCACTCCCATCATGCCCCACTCTCTAGGTAGCTTTTGTGGACCTGTGTCAGCCCCCTGCTCTGAGCCCCCACTCCTACTTCTCCAGAACTCTACTTTGTGAAGTTGACATTTATCATGCGCCATTTATATGCCCACTGGGCAGGGCCTTGGCAAGACTTGCACGGGGTCTGTGGGCCCCCAGAGCAAAAGAACTGAATAGACTCGAGCCTCCCTCTCCACTGACTGCTGGGGTTTCTGTGTCTTGTCTCTACAGAAGACTCTAGGGTGGAAACGCGCACACAAGGGCTCCTTTAAAGATGGTAAGTGGCTCCCAAGGCAGCAGAGGGCAGAATGTAACCAGGAAGGGGTCTCAGTGGGGCCACCTGGGGGACTGAGTGGGACTGGGAAGAGGGATCAGGCCCGGTAGGGTTCTTCAGGGCCTCAGGTCTCAGAGGCAGATCTGACTATGTAACTCACTCAGAGTTCCCTTGAATTCCCAAGTATGTGACCCAAGGACAGGGGAGCAATGAATTAGCCCCAGTACCCAATAGGACCAATAGATTATAGGGCTATGGACCTCCAGAGGTACAGAGACTCATGCTGTGTGCTCTGTGTGGAATCTTCCTGGTCCAAAGAGAGCCTGCCAGGTTCTGTGGCTCAGGAGGAAAGTAGTGGCCAATGTTGTTGGGTCTGCCCGGCCCCACTGAGGCTGTGAAGTCCAGAAAAGTTTTAAGCCTCAGGTGTCCTAGGCCTGGCCTTTATTAAGAGGTTCCAAGACATGGTGGGCCCAGCAGGAATGTCCCTCCCTCCCTCCTGACCCACGTCAGCTCTGAGGATGACCACAGGCCAAGGCTAAGGATCCAAGCCTCCCAGAGTCTCAGGGCGACTATCTCCCTGTGCAGAGCTGCAGCAGTGTCCCCCAGGCTGAAGGGTTCAGAGGTGCGCTAAGCTGGGATGACCCACCCCAGGCAGGGTCAGAAGTGTGGTCAGCTGTGGGAGGCAACCAACGTACTCAGGCCCTGACTGAGTACCCCAGCTAAGGACCCCAGCCTCCCTCTCCTAGGCTGGGCGCAGCTGGCCCCTGCATGTCTCTGGTTGGTCAGCTTGGCCCTGGCCTGGAGTGCCACATTCTACACTGGACTGCCACTGCCTCCCAGGCTGGCCTTGCACCACTGTGGGAGCCAGCAGGCCAGAGGGGAGCCTGAATGTTCTCAGATCTCTGTGGGGAACCCTAAGGAGGGCCGGACTACCCCAAACCAGACAGATGGCTCTACTTTCCCCAGACCCTCAGTTGTACCAGGAGATCCGGGAGAGGGGTCTGAATACCAGTCACGATTCTGATGATGACATACTCGATGAGTCCTCCAGCCCGGAGGGAACCCAGAGAGCAGACACCATCGTGGTCAAGAGCTACCGACCTGCCCAGCTCACCTGGAGCCAACTCCCAGAGGTTAGCAATCCCACACCCATCCTGAGCACCCACTGGGACCCAGATTGGATTACAGAACCTGCTGTCCCCCAGCAGGAGGTCATATGGCCTGCCCTCCCCCAGCCTTTGGTGGCCCAGGCCCTTGTAAGGCAGTCAACAGCTTCCAGGGCCCCAATCAGCCTGTGGGCCTTGCTAGGTTCCTTGGGGGGTAGTCCCTGGGGGAGGAGAGCATGAGAAGTTTGTCTTCCGTCCTGGTATGTGGCAGGTGACCCTGCTCAGACTGATCTGCAGGGACCCACCCTCCTCCATAGGACCTTCACCTCACACCAGCATAGGGGCAAGGCCACCCCACCACTGCCCACAGCTGAAAGTGGGTCCCTGTGGACTACAGCCGCTCAGTGGAGCGCAGGGCCAGGATGGTGGCCGGGACCTAGCCGCTGTGGCAGACATGTGACCTCTGTCCTTTGCAGACTGTGGGTGTGACAAGCAGTGGGGATGAGTGGGCCCAGCCTTCCCGTGGTCTCGGTACAATGGAGCTCCTTGTTTTCCTGCTGGGGGAGTGAGGGTGGGAATAAGGGACCCTCCGTGTAACTGCCTGCAGTGGGATCCCAGCCAGGGAGTGTCCAGCCTAGGGCTGAGACAGGGCAACATCTGCCCCTCACAGATGAACATGTCCAGAAATGTATGTTTATTATCCTGCTGGATGCTGGTAGCTGAGGGGTGTGTGATCCTCCCAACTGGGATGGGGCCCAGTATGCGGTACCCCATAACACTACCAGATACTCAGAGCCCCACCTCCCCAAGCTTTGAAAGCAGCAGGGGCCAGGCACTGTTGATGGCCCAAACTGTGGGAAGGAGAGCACAACTGGAGGCAGACCTAGGTCCTGCAGAGGGCAGGCAGTGCGGCTATCCAGCCTGTCCTGACGTGCTCTACAGGAACAGGCATGCCATGGCTCAAGGGAACCACACCAGGGTAGCTCGCTGGCCATGGCCCCCGAGGGTGTGTAGAGCACGGGCGCTGCAGGCTCACTGGCTCAAGTCCCTGTGCCTTCACTGGCAGGGCTCTGACTCACCTGCCAGGTGGTGTCTGAGTCACGGCCCTGCCCCTCCACTCTGTCGCTCTGGACTCCCTGCCAGTTGCCCTGGGCTGGTTCAGGTTCTAGAAATGGAGTAGCCATGTCCTGGGAGATTTCCACAGATGGGGTGAGGCTGAGGAGGCACAGGCAACTCTGCCCAGGCTCCTGCCTCCTCTAGAATGTTCTGTCCTCCAGGCTGGGTCAGGCCCAGGGGAGGGTAGAAGTGGGAGCCTGGCTCTAGCTGTAGGACCTGTGACCCATAGCTTCCGGGCCTGTGCTGTCTGCAGGTGCTGGAGTCAGGAGTCCTGGACACGCTGTCCGTGGAGGAACGCAAGAGGCAAGAGGTAAGGCCACTGGGTGTGACGTGCTCAGGCGGCTGTAGCCCAAGTTGACCCTAGGTACGGTGTGGGTCACACAGCACCCTGGGAGGAGGAGACAAGAGCCAAGAGATGTCCTTCCCCTTCTACCCTGTTGGCCACCTCCCATCACGATGGCTGAGAACTAGGTCATTACTCTGAGCCAGGCACTGGCTGAGCCCCTCCATCACGGTGTGATCCTTCAAGTGGCATCAAGGAAGGGGCTGCCATTGCCTCTCAGGCAAGGACCAGAGTGCTGCCAGGAACAAAGGACATGGCTCGGGGTAGACTATCTGCCTAGCATATGTCAAGCCCATTACCACAGTCCAGTTACCATTACCACAGTCCAAAAAGGCAAAACAGTTCAGAGTCCACACAGCTCATGAGTTGCTGAGCCCAGACAGCAAACGCAGGGACACTGATTCATGGCCTGGGCATTTGTCATGACAGCCCGCTGCAGGGGGCCTGCCTGAGGTTCTGAGATCCTGGGTACCCCCCTTCCCCGCCTCTCATTCTGAACACCATCTTCTCACACAGGCCATCTTCGAGATCCTTACATCCGAGTTCTCCTACCTGCACAGCCTGAGGATCCTGGTGGGTGAGTTCCTGCAGTCCAAGGAGCTACAGGCCACTATGACACAGACAGAGCACCACCACCTGTTCTCCAACATCCTGGATGTGCTAGCCACCAGTCAGAAGTGAGCCTCACCGCCCTCCCTAAGTCATACCTATGTCCCCGGGTCCCCAGGCCTTTGGCAGGGATCCTAAGAATCCCACCTCAACCTTGCCTCCAGGTGGTCAGCACTGTAATGATGTCATCCAAGATCTGGGGGAGCCCCGGGCTGTCTCTGTGGATGTGTGGATGGGACAGTTTGGAGCAGCCCCTGGCTGGGTGGAGCCTGACAACCTCCAGAAGCCCTTGAGGCCTTTGAGAGCTGGTGATAGAGATAGGTTGAAGACCTGAGCGCTGTGACAGTGGGTACCCTAGGCTCCCAGGAGAGGTGGAGCACTTCTCCTGGGCACAGCCGTGTGCCACCAGCACTGGGCAGAGTGGCACAGGCAGCAGTAGAGTGTTCACCCAGCCAGGAGGCAGCCTCGCATTGCAACCCCAGGTCATGTTCTGCCCAGAAGTGTCTGGTGGCCTGGCTGGGCTCTGGTTGCAGGGAATGGAGATGGAGGAGGGGCCAGACACATAGCTGCAGGCTAGTGAGGGCATGTATGTCCCTGTATGTGTATGTACAAGTACTTGTGTGTGAGGATGGGGTACAGGTGGGAGTGCCTGTACATACTTATGTATGTACCCTGTATGGGTCTGTGTGTGCTTTGTGCATGTACATGTGTATGCACACTGGTATGTGTCTGTGTATGTGCCTGCCTGTGTATGCATGTGCATACTTGCATATGTGCATGTGTGTATGCATGTGTTGAATTCCTTGGAGGGCACAGTCTAGGCATGCTGCGTGTGGGCTCAGCCTCTACTGCTCCTGCATGCTGGGAGACCCCAGACCTCCCCTAGGCTCCCAGCCTCAGCCTCATTCTTCACCTGATGGGACTGGTGTCTGGGCCTGGGGTGGGGTCAGAGGTGCCTCTGTGTCTTCATGTCAGGATCGGCCCAGCCCTCACTGAACCCACCCAGAGTCTGCTGCTGTGGACACCTCCCCCCAGGAAATTTCAAAGCCATGGGAGCAGAGGACAGAGGACTGTCCTATCCCTGGGGACAAGGGCTTCCTGTAGAGCTTCAGTGACTAGTTGTGGGAACTCCCAACCCCTTACTTAGTGAAGGAGGGGAGAGGTCCAGGGAAGTGGCTGCCTCTCCCCAGTGTTGACCCTCATGCAGTCTCCTGCCCCCACGTGTGGTCCCTTGGTCCTGAGCAGCCTGTTTGCTCTGGTCTCTGCAGAGCTCCAGCCTGGCCATTCCTGTCTTAGGGTGGGACTCTGGCCTCCTCCTCACTTCACCTCTGGGAATTGATGTTATTTTGGGTCAGTGGCTGGCTCTCTTGGGCCTTCCCAGGAAACCCCAGGAGTTGTGTATTTCATGAGCATGTGGTGGGCATGTGTCCAGACAGCTGCAGCTCTGGCTTTCTGGTCTCATCCATGGGTCCACGCATTTCAGAGTCTCTGTCCTGGTTACCCAGTTTCCCAAGAGGGGAATGGCTCTCAGGATGTCCTTTTGTATAGGAAGTGAGGTTCTTGAGTCCTGACTTGCAAAGGGGCTTCTGGGATGGATAGAGTCCTCCCAGCCACCTTAGCCAGGGCCCAGGGACATGGCTCAGGGTCTAGTATGTTGAGCATCTGCAGGATAGACAGAAGGCTCCAGCCACTGCCTCACACACCAACAGGCCAAACCCCAGGGAACCCTGGGCCAAGTTCTTACGTCATTAGCTCATTTTGTCCTCATCACTCTACCCAAGGCCTGGCTTACGAGAGGTCAGAGGCTGGTAGTTCCTCCAGGGCCTCTGCCAAGAGCCTAGGCCCTACCACCTGGACTGGACTCTGTGAAGGTGGATGTTTATAAAACCTTTCAGGGGGCTTGCTGTCGGAGCCACCTCAGTGGCAGGGTCCATCTCTAGAGAGAGGTGGCCTTTCCTGGTCCTGTAAGGGCCAACGTAGCCCTTCTGTGCCTACGAGACTGGTCACCGCATCTCTGTCCTTGAGTTCTTTCCATGGGCAGGTATAGGGATGGATACTCTGCAGGAGGCATTTGAGGATCTAATCTGTCCTGGGCCCCTGAGGGCTATATGACAGCCCTCTGCAGGGAGCAGTGGCCTGCCCAAGGTCCATCTGGCTTGGGATCTGCCACAAGGCACCTGCCTTATACCACTTCAGAAGCAGCGTGGATCCATAAACATGTTTGTCTGCATGTGTGTTGGCATCCGTACATGCCCACCAAAACAGAGTCCTTACCTCCCTAACCACCCCCATTCTCCACATTCCAGGTTCTTTGAGGCCCTGGAGCAGCGGCACAAGGCACAGGTGTGTGTGGAGGACATCAGTGACATCTTGGAGGAGCACGCAGAGCAGCACTTCGTCCCCTACATCTCCTACTGCTCCAACGAGGTCTACCAGCAGCGCACCCTGCAGAAGCTGATGTGAGTGGGGTCCTGGCCACCACAGTCCACCCTGTGCAGGCTCTGCCCGACCTCTTTCTGCAGCCAGAGAGACAGCTGTGTGCTCTTGCAGGGACAGCAACACAGCCTTCCGAGAGGTTCTGCGGGAGATCGAGAAGCAGCCTGCGTGTGGGGGCCTGCCCATGATCTCCTTCCTCATCCTCCCCATGCAGAGGGTGACCCGGCTGCCACTCCTGACCGATGTGAGTACCAAGGAGACCTGCGTACTGCCATCCACGCTTGGCTGTGCTGACCCACTCGAGCCTGCCCCCTTCAGTCTTGCCCTCCGATTCGGCTCGATTCAGCTGTGATATTTTGAATCATTACAATGACAAGTGTGAGATGGTGCAAATAATCATGATCACTCTGTGGTATTGTGTTGCTGTGGCCTGTAGCGCGTGCACACACACACACACACACACACACACACACACATACACACACACACACAAGTCCTAGGTTGCTTCTCTGTTGCTTTGATGAACCTATAGTGACCAAGGCAACTTGAGGAGGGAAGGGTTTATTTGACTTACAGGTTACAGTTCAGCATTGAGAACAAAGTCAAGGCTGGAGCCCGGGGCAGGAACCTGGAGGCAGGAACTGAAGCAGAGACCTTGGAGGAACGCTGCTCCCTGGCCTTCTTGCCTGGCCTGCTTAGCTGTTTCCTTTTGGTTTTGGTTGGTTTTTTAGACAGGGTCTCCCTGTAGTCCCAGCTGGCCTGGAACCCACTATGTAGACCAGACTGGTCTCCATCTCACAGAGATCCGCTTGTCTCTGCCTCTGGGATCAAAGGTATGCGCCGCCATGCCCGGTCTCAGCTACCTTTCTTTTTTTTTTAATTTTATTATTTTTATGTGTATGCATGCATTGCCCGCATGTAGGTAAGTGTACCTGTGTCGTGCAATGCCCTCGGAGGACAGAAGAGGCTGTCGGATCCCCTGGGACTGGAGTTATGGACAGTTGTTAGCTGCCACGTGGGTGCTGGGATTCAAACCCGGGTCTTCTGTAAGAACAACCAGTGTTCTTAACCACTGAGCCATCTCTCCAGCCCCTCAGCTACATTTCTTACACAGCCCAGACCCACTGGTCTAGGGATGGCACTACCCACAGTGGGCTGGACCTTCCTACATCCATTAGCAATCAAGAAAATACCCCATAGGTATGCCCACAGGCCAGTCTGATGGGGACAGCTTCTCAACTGAGATTCCCTCTCCCCAGGTGTATCAAGTTGACAACCAGGTTTAGCGATCACATGCATAGACACAAATACACACAGGCATGCATACATAGACCCCCAGCCCCGCAACTGCAAAAAATGGGGCTTCTGGGTTCCCCACTGCCACTTCCCAGGCTGCAGGGAAGGAGCAAGATGCATGGTGCCAGCGTCCATTCCAACCCACCTGGCCTGGCGGAGCTCCAGGGTCCCGAGGCCATGTATGGGCTATACATACTGGCAGGATTCAGTTGGAACCCTTTAGAAGTCTTCGCCTGCCTTGAGACCCCATGGCAGGCCTCCTGGGAGGGGTCTCAGTGCCTCACAACTGCTGTCTTCCCCAGACACTCTGCCTCAAGACTCAAGGCCACTCTGAAAGGTACAAAGCTGCCAACCGTGCCCTGAAGGCCATCAGCAAGGTGAGGCAGTGCCCAGTCCCAGGTTACCTGGCAGCAGAGACCCTGGGGTGGGAGGGGTTTGTGGATTGTCCATCCTAAGCTTTTTGTGGTACAGAGGGTGAAAGGGACTGGTGCCCACTGTCACCAGGAGGGCAGACACTCTGCACTAGCCACAGCCCCACCTGTGTGACACACGTGTGCTTCCCCTCCAGCTGGTGAAGCAGTGCAACGAGGGGGCCCACAGGATGGAGCGCACAGAGCAGATGATCATGCTGCACAAACAGCTGGACTTCGGCAAGGTCAAGGTAGGTGCTGTGCCAGCCTGGCCCGCCTCAGACTGCCACCCCACTCCCCTCTCTGCTGTCTTCATTTGAGATCAGGAGGCTAAAACGAGGCCCCCTGGGGAGACCCACCCCAGGGGGGAGGCTTGGGTCGTTGATCTTTCCAGGCCTCAGTTTCCCATGTGGGAGTGTGCCTTGCACAACCCCTAGCCAGCTTTGCAGCACTGCTGACCGAGACTGGGTGGGTGGACCGGCCTCTCTGGCCCTCACCTTCACCCCAGGCACAAGACAGGCCTATTCAGCAGCTCCTCCAGAGCCTGTGCTCCTTGCTAGCTTGCTGGAGGCTGATTGGGAGGTCAGAGAGAAGGTGACAGGGCCAGCTCAGGTCTTGGCTTCCAGGGGAGCAACAGTGTCTTTAGCCTGGGCCTGGGCAACTGTCAGCTCTCTTCTGAGCAGGCAGGACAGGACCTGGAGCTCTGCAGATGCCCCCACAATCCCATAGACTGGCCCAGGCCCTGTGCTGTCCTGAGCCAGCCCCCAGAAGCCATGTCCAAGTAGGACCCATTTGGGCCTCTTGTCCTGATGTCCTGTCCACTTGGTGCCCCCCCAATCACTCAGAGGTTCCCTAGCTGATGTGATGAGTCACCTGGGTCAAGACAGGCAGTGAGGCTTCAAGGATCCCCTTGATGGTTGTGGAGGGGCATCCTCCATGACTGCCTGCTGCTCTGCCATGCCCCTACCCCTCACATTTGGGGTACAGTGCCACACCCCAGTCCCAGCCATAGGAGGAGCCCAATCCCAAGCTGGGCTCACCCTGAGTGGGACTCCTACCCCATATGGTCTTGAAGCCTGTGCTAAAGGTGCAGTTCGAGGTACAGAATATAGACTGGGCTGGGTCAGGAAATGATGTGCAAAGCCACGGGTGGGAAGCCCGGGTGACTCAGAATCTGCAGTGGTGTGGGGTGTCAAAACAGAGCACATTTGGAGAGCAGGTAGAGGTTGGCCTCAATTGTCAGTCCAGCTGCAGGGCCCCTTACTAGTGAAGCCTCTTCTGGCTTCTCACACCCATTTCACCCAGCTTACCACCAGGCTCCTGGGATGGGAGAGAGCTCTGTTTCAGGGTCAGGGTTCAGGATACCCCCTGTACCTGAGAATGTGGTCATGTAAAGTGGCCTACCCTTCCCATCCTGGCATAGGCCCCTGGCAGGCCTTGCTTCCAAGAAGTGCAGATCAGGCCCTCAAGCCTCCCCAACTCAGGACAAGGACTGACCCCCACCCCCAGTTCAGGCAGAACGTTCAGCAAGCACCCAAAGAGCCTGGGGTGGCCTGGAGGCTGGACAGAGCTGTCCTGGGTGTGGCTGGATCAGGGCCCAGCATAATGCCTGTGTGTCAACTGAACAGCCTTTCCGTAAGGCACTGGTACATCTCTGTTCATCCCCAAAGGGACATCTAGCTCAATTCAAGGAGATGGGAATTGTCCCTGCTGCCCCCACAGCCTTGCCCTGCCCCATCTCGATCATCCGCCTTTCTCTGTCCCCAGTCCCTCCCACTCATCTCTTCCTCGCGCTGGCTGCTGAAGCAGGGAGAGCTCTTCCTGTTGGAGGAATCCAGTATTTTTAGGAAAATTGCCAGCCGACCAACTTGCTACTTGTTCCTATTCAATGATTTCCTGATTGTCACCAAGAAGAAAAGGTAGGCACTGGGCTGCCGGCCGCAGGCTGTGCTACATCCTGCACTGCTGGGTGGTAGAAAAATCCAGAAGAGGAACAGAGCAGTATCACCCAAGACACTTTCTGAAAGTGAGGGACCAGGAGGCTTTCTGTCCCGGACAGAGGCATCAATAGTCTCTCACACCCAGTGCTTTTATGAACATGGATGGATGAGGCACTCTGAGCAGACATTCAGGAACAGAAGGCAGGCAGATCAAGGGACATTTCTCTGCAGGGGCTTAGAAAACGATTTGTAACAAAATGCGACCTGTTTACAAGGCACAGAGCAGATGTTCACAGAATGGTATGAATGGGGCACAGGTTTCTTATCTAATCTAAACATAAGGGATGGTACCCTTCAGAGCCTGTGTCTGCATAACACGCCCATCTGGTTTTGCCACCATAGACATTCTTGGCTGGGGATGACTTTGCACGTACGCCAGCTTTCAGCAGCGTTCACACAGGGCAGTGGTCTCCGACAAGGCTGGAGCCCTGAGCCCCTCCGACCTCAGCACTCAACACCACACTTCATGAGGTCTGGGGCAGCCAGGTGGTTCCATCTGGAGTCAGGGCTCTCTGGGGTCTCCCTCCTCAACCACAGAAGCTCCTGGAAGCTAGAAGTTCCCAGGGGACAGGTCTTAGGAGCACTCATGTGGTCACCTGATCCTGGCTGGGGAGACCCTGCTGACCTTTTGTGTCCCTACAGCGAGGACAGCTACCTGGTTCAGGACTACGCACAGCTAGACCACGTGCAGGTCAGGAAGCTGGAGCCCTCGGAGCCCTCACTCCCCGCAGGCAGCGGCCGCAGCTCCTCTGTGCCCCACCCCTTCCAGGTGACCCTGCTGTACAACAGTGAGGGTCGCCAGGAGCAGATCCTGCTGTCCTCCGACTCTGCGTAAGATGGCAAGGGGCCCAGGAGGGAGAGGCACACGTGCAAGCATGAGCCTCAGGAGAATGGAATGTGCGCGGTTGTTTCTGAGTGCCTACTGTGTGCTGCGTACTGTCGGTGCTGGCTGGAGCTAGGAAGGGAACATGCTAACAGATGAAAGACTGGGCCGTCTGGTGTCCAGACAAGGAAGCTACAAGAAGGGATGGGTGTGGGTGTGATTGGTGGGAAGCTCATCATCGATGAGGTGCTATTTAGTCAAAACCCCAAAGAGGGGAAGAAATGAGGCAGCAGACGCAGGAGTGCTCAGCCAGAGCAAGCCATGTAAAGGCCCTGCGGCAGAAGCGTGCTCCATAGAGCGACAGGGGGGTCTGGAGCATAGCAAGCCCAAGGGCTGTGGGGCAGGTCCGAATAGGTGGAGACCTGGAGATGGAACAGGTGGTACCACACTGGGACTCACGGCCCCGAGGAGGAAGGCCTCACCCACACTCTCTCTGACCTCCAGGAGTGATCGCGCCCGGTGGATCACAGCGCTCACCTACAAGGAAAGGCAGTGGCTGGGCTGTACCAACAAAGGAGGTGAGTGTGCCGCAGGATTGCAGGGTTTCAGCCTGAGGCAGAGCTGGTCTGCAGAGGAGACACTGTCCAGCCCTCAGGCCACACCCAGCCTGTCCTGGGACTCCTTGCCTGGGTGCAGGACCCTGGCCAGCTGTATGTATGACTACATGCACACAGCCCAGCTCTGCCTTCTCAGTCCTTGAGGGGCTCACCTCAGCCATGTAGCTGGGAAATTGAGACCAAAGGACAGAGCAGGTGGGCCCATCAATGTCACCTTCAGTACTGGCCCTGCCTACTGGCTTAGGAGAGAATCATCTGTCAGTGCTGGGTGTCTGTCCTGCACCTCTGGAGGGCCCGTCTTGTGCTGGGTCCTCTGGGTCACTGTCTGTGGGAAGCTGTGGAGGTGGAGTCCTGCCCTCCTAGGGCTGCAGAGTAGTCCTGGCCTAGCCTTCCGGGTTGTCGCTGACACCAGCCTCATTTCCCCTACAGAACTGCCCCAAGTGGAGATCACCAAGGCATACTTTGCCAAGCAAGCCGACGAGATCACGCTGCAACAGGCCGACGTTGTCCTGGTCCTGCAGGAGGAGGACGGTGAGTGTGGGTGGTCTGCACTGAGTGTTGGGTGCTGGGGGTCTGCACTGAGTGTTGGGTGCTGGGGGGCTGCACTGAGTGTTGGGTGCTGGGGGGCTGCACTGAGTGTTGGGTGCTGGGGGGCTGCACTGAGTGTTGGTTGCTGGGGGGATGCACCAGATCACGCTGCAACAGGCCGACGTTGTCCTGGTCCTGCAGGAGGAGGACGGTGAGTGTGGGTGGTCTGCACTGAGTGTTGGGTGCTGGGGGTCTGCACTGAGTGTTGGGTGCTGGGGGTCTGCACTGAGTGTTGGGTGCTGGGGGTCTGCACTGAGTGTTGGGTGCTGGGGGGCTGCACTGAGTGTTGGGTGCTGGGGGGCTGCACTGAGTGGGTGTTAACTAAACAAGGCTGCAGGGTGTACTAGGGTGCAGAGAGACCAGCACATGCTTAGTGTGCTGCACCCTCAACAACTTCAAAGCTTGGGGCTGGCGACATGGCTCAGCTGGTATGAGGACTTGAGTTTGATCCTGGCTGGGGAGACAGATGGGCAGATCCTGCCCCTCCCCAGGGCTTGCTGGCCAGCCTAGCCTGACTGGCAAGCTCCAGGCCAGTGAGAGATCCTGTCTCCAAAGAAAAGAAGGACAACACCTATGGACAGCTGAGGTTGTCCACACACGTGAGCACATGCATGTGCATCTGTATACATGTGCACATGTGCATGCACATGCCACACACAACTTCCTCAAAGGAAGGACTCCAGGGCTCAGAGTCATGGAATCAGAGCCGGTTGTCACTCTATGCTGTAAGCAAAGCAAAGGGGTGTCTGCACTCCTGGTGGTCCCCATGAGCAGACCCAGCATACACCTCCACGGGGCTTGATGATGGTGCAGTGAGTGTAGTCCCCATCTTCTCAGTGACGGAGCTCCTGGGAGCCAACGTGCTCGTGGCCTTGAGGGAGGTCACTGGCCATTCTCTCTGAGGCAGGAGGGGTGTCAGTTCAATAGTCACCTGGGCCCTGGCACCCTGAGGAGCAGTGGTGGAGGGGTTGGGCACCCCCAGCCTGCCTCTCTCTCACCTGTCCATCTACATGTAGGCTGGCTGCATGGTGAAAGGCTTCGAGATGGAGAGATTGGCTGGTTCCCCGAGAGCTTCGCCAGCTGCATCACCAGCAGTGTGGCCGTGGAGGGTAACGTGCGCAGGATGGAGCGGCTGCGGGTGGAGACAGACGTGTAGCTGGCCAGCTCGAGATCCAACTTATGGTGGACATAGCTTTGGCTCCCAGCCAGCAAGTGGTCCTGCCTGACTCCAAGGAGCAAGAGGAATTTATCCAGGGGTGCTGCTCAGTTCCCTGGGACTTCCCAAAGCCTCATGCCTACGTGCAGGATGCTGGACATACCCTTGAAGATTACACTTGCTTTCCAGGGGATTTTAGAGGCAAGTCCGGGGGTCCACATTCTGGAAGGAGCCCAGCCTGGCCTCTCGCCATCCAATCCCTGCCCCATGTCTTGGCCCCTTGAGGGGCAGCCAAGCTGCACCCAGGCTAACAGTGATAAAGGACTTCTGCCTTGAGGGCAGATAGTGCAGCGTTGCCCTCCCTGCTGCACCCCCTCCTTCCCAGTGGTACAGGTTCTGAATGCCTAGACTGCTCCGTGTTCCAAGAGGACAGCACTGGCGGGAGACTCCCTGGGGTGTCAGCAGGATATGCAACTAAGATTTTAAACGACATTAAAGCATTTCTTTAAAACTTAGGTTTCCATTTGAATCTAGGTGAGGCTAGTCCTACTAAATCCTAAGACATAGCAGGTGGGCAGGCCCTCTGTATGTCCCTGGCTCTGGCCCATCTGTCTACCAGCCAGTGTCGTGGCAAGGCCATGGCTCCTGCTCATAGGGTCAAGGGTGGCAACGGACCTTTCAGGGCTTGGACTGGCCACAGGATCTTGAGATACAGCAGGGACACTCTGGGGTGACCCCAGGAATTGGAGGCAGCCCCTGATCCTCAATACCTCCCTCTCAAGGACTTTCAGGCCAAAAAGGCAGTCTCCAAGCTGACTAGGGCTGGGCCAGGCAAGAACAGGGTTGGTCCAGTTGACCCAGCCTTCAAGCTCTGTACCGACACCCCTGCCCTTTTCTGCTAAGCTTAAGGTCCTCAGCATATGCATAGAATTTAGGCCCAGCCTTGCTACAGATGTGTCAGGCACATCCCTCCTAGGTGTGAGGAAGGCTCTGCATCAGCAAGATTGGCTGGGGCCAGCTCCTCCCCAAGGCCTGCATGGCCTGAGGCAGCAGGGTCAAGTCCAGCCTCATCCTAGCAGCTCAGCCCTCACCTGGGGCTTTGCAGGGAGGGGCAGGGTTGAGGGAGGAATCACGATCTGGGATGACGTCTGGTGTCCATCACCCTCACTTCCAGCTTGACTAATGCATTGTTTCCTTGGGCCTGCTGGGGGCTGGGGACGTGCCAATGGCTGGGCACACTAGTGGCTGGGGAGCACTACATATGTGCAGAGGTGCTTGTGTGTACACTGATGTGTGCCTGTGGCAGAAACAGGTAATATACCTTAGTGTAAACCCACTGTCCTGTGGCCTCTGGCTTGTCTCCCCCCACCAACCCCCAAAGGTGAAGTCAAGAAGGGCAAGCTGACCCACCACGCATCATCCACTAAGCACATTCCTTATAGGTGTGTCAGGAAGCTGCAACATTTTCACTCTGGACCATTTGTCGCTTAAGCACAAGTGAAAATCATTGCTGCTTCATCGGGGTGAGGATGTCACAGCTTTGGGAGGGCAGACAAGGCTGAGGGGAGGGCTGCCATCAGACACCAGACCCTGACCGAGAGCTTAGGGCACAAGGGGTCAACTGGTACAGGCCCAGGTCAGGAAACCCTCCCCAGTAGTCAGGAGCACAGGACTGGGCTGCCAATGAGGGTAAGGACCTCCAGGGACAGCCTGTCCCCACAGCCCTCCACAGCTGAGGGAGCCTAGCCTGTCCTCTGTGTCAGCATCCTCGTGGTGCATCTATGCCCCCCCCATAACAGAGATCCTGTGGAGGCCCCTCCCTGCCCACTTGGCAGGGGAGACTCACTTCACCCCTCCTGTCCACCAGGGCTGCAGGGCCCCTCCTATTGGCAGATGGAGAAACTAAAACCCAAAGGCCCTGTGGCCTGCTGTTAGAAGCATGCAGGGGGCCATCAAGATTTCTAATGTCCCCAACCACCTCAGTTGGGAGTCCCCGGAACTGGAGTTATAGATTGCTGTTAGCTGTCATGGAGGTGCTGGGAATCGAACCTGAACCAGGCCTGTGCCCCAGAAGAGGTTAAGTGGGACCAGATCCCAAGATCCCTGCGGAAGCTTTGCCAGTCATGGGGCACCTCAATGGCCACGGGTCTGTGGGCAATGGGAAAAAAGGGCCCTGGCCTTCCCCTCAGCAAACTCAGCTGAACATATGCCAGCTGGGCCAGGTGGGCACACCCCAGCTTTCTTGGGGAAACAGGAAGAGGCATGTGGTAGAAATGGTATGCGACACTCCAGCAGCAAGTGACCAGTGCCAGAGCCAGGCCAGGCCTCCCACCCCTCCTCCATGAGAAATGAGCCCAGCCCGCCACCAGCGGCAGTGCGGGGGCTCCTCCTGGCTTCAGCTCCACACGGTGTGCACAGGCCTTTGTTCTCTGTATCAGATGGCTTTGGAATTGCATTCCCTCTGCTCATCAGGTTCATTTTGAGTCCCTCTAGAACATTCCATAGCACACAATGTCCCTGAGGCTTTGTGCCAAGTTGCCTAACTCCCACCACTGCCATCCACTCAGTGATGGTTCTGCGTTCCTCGCACTCCCCCTGGTGGCTATAAGAGGCACTAACATGGGACTGCACCCCGGGACCCCAGCTTTGGCCACATGGACGGGAAGCCCAGGATCAGGACTTCCTCTGACAATCTGGAGAGAATGCCATGCCTGTCCTTGGTCAGTGTCTGTGGACTGTGATTTCCCATCTCGTTTCTGTTTGTCCACTGACAGCAGCTGTCACCTGTCAGCAGTACACTCTGGCTGCTGCTGGGCCTCTGATTCAACAGGCTAGAATTCCATCCAGTGGGGGGACTCGGAGATGGCTTCCACATCTGTGTCTCACTGTCTTCCACTTTCAGGGTTCCTTCTAAAAAATATTTTTTTCATTTTGAGTGTATTGCCTGCATGTATGTAAGTGCACCCGTGTCCTGAAGTGCCCTCGGAGATCATAAAAGGGCGTTGGAGTCCCCGGAACTGGAGTTATAGATGGCCGTTAGCTGCCATGGAGGTGCTGGGAATCGAACCTGAGCCAGTGTTCTCAACCGCTGAGCCATCTCTCTAGTCCCCCAGGGCTGCTTTTAGGTCTTTAAACTTTCTTAATTTTTAAAATTATATTTATCATGTGCATGTGTGTATACATGCATACACATGTGGAGGTCAGAGGACAACGTGTAAGAGTCAGTTCTCTCCTTCCACCACAAGGGTCCTGGGGATTGAACTCAGGTTGTTAGGCTTGAACCCTTCACCCACTGAGCCATCTCTCCAGCCCCAAACTCCTTTAATCTCTATGTATGCTGACCCTAGCATTTCACTTTCCTGAATCAATCGATCTTCCTTTTGAGTATCGGTGCCCACTCATCACATTCTTTTCAAAGTCTCTACATCATCTGCAGCTGATTCTTCATGTTTAAAAAATTACTGTAAGTCTGGCTAGGGTGCCATGCTTTTAATCCCTGCACCCAGGAAGCAGAGGCAGGCAGATCTCTGATTTCAGGCCAGCCTGGTCTATATATCAAGTTCCAGGCCAGACAGCATGACATAGTAAGACTGTTTCAAAAAATTAATAAATGACAAGCTAAAATTTATTCAGATTTGATCGTTGCTATTTTTGCTTGACCTATAATTTTAAATATTTTTATTTTATGAGTGTTTTGCCTGCATGTATGTAAGTGCACCATGTCATGCAATGCCCGTGGACGCTAGACGATCCCCTGGAACAGAGCTATGGATGGTTGTTGGCTGGGAACCAAACCTGGGTCCTCTGCAAAAGCAGCCAGTGCTCTTAACCACTGAGCCATCTCTCCAGCCCCAACATAGAGGTTTTTTTATAAAGAACACATTACAACCACCAGTTGCAATATATTTCTTTCCAGCTGTGATAGCCATCATTGCTCTATGGATTGTGCAACTGTGTGTGTGTATGTGTGTATGTATGTATGTGTGTATATGTGTATGTATGTGTGTATATATATGTGTATGTATATGTGTGTGTGTGCGTGTGTATGTGTGCGTGTGTGTGTGTGTGTACAGGACTTTCACTTCATATTAAAACTCCCTCACCTCTCCTTGGCTTGGGTCTTAGACTAGATCATATGAATTTGTTTCAATTTTTTAAGCTACATTTATTTATTTATTTATTTATTTATTTATTTATTTATTTATTTATTTATTGGGAATGCATGTAGGAGTCAGAGGATGCCCTGTAGGAGACAGTTCTCTCCTACCATGTGGGTCCTGGGGTCCCAGAGATCAAACTCATCAGGCTTTGCAGTGAGGCCTTAACCTACTGAGTCATCTTGCCAGCCAAGGTCCTGATTTTAATGTTTCTATTATGCACATGCATGCATGGAGATGGGGGGTATGCAGGTGCCAGCAGAGGCCAGGAGCATTGGATCCCCAGGAGCTGGAGTCACAGGTGGTTGTGAGTCACCCAGTGTGATTAATGGGACTTGAACTCAGGTCCTCTGGAAGAGCAACAAGGGCTCTTAACTGGAGCAGTGTCTCCAGTCAGATCGTGTGCGTGTGTGTGTGTGTGTGTGTATGTGTGTGTGTGTGTGTGTGTGTGTGTGTGTGTGTGTGTGTGTGTTTGAGACAGGGTCTCCCTGTAGTTGCAGCTGGAACTCACTATGTAGTCCAGGCTGGCCTCAAACTCACAGAGATCCTTCTGCCTCCACCTCCCAAATGCTGGGATTAAAGGCATTAAACACCACTACACCCAGCTTCAGATCCTGACATTCTAACACAGTCAGGGCCCCTGCCTGCATCAGGACATGAGCCTGTTCTCCCTTTCCTCCTGGGTAGACCCAGGTCGACCGCAGGAGGGCTGGAAGTGGACCACCCCATCACCACCCTCCTGTGGTGACTTATGTTACCTTCTCATTTCACTGCCAGGACCAGTAATGCCTGACTCTTACTGCCCCATCTCCCACCTCCCCAGATGGTGAGCTAGCCTGGGGTTGCCCTGGGTTAGTGGGCAGATTTCCTGTTTCTTTGTGAGCAGGAAATGGGCGGAGTGGTATCCCCTGGCTCTCTCCTGAGCTCCTCCCACTTCCTGCTGGAGAGCTTTACCCAAGTACATTTCCAAATAGGATTTCATGGGTGAACCTGCCAGTGCCTTTAGGGCCAAAAACCAGTGCTGACATTGGGCACAGTGATCGTTTCGTTAGATGTAAAATCCAGCTGAGTCAGTGCTAATGACAGAACTTCACTTCCTGGCTTTCTGACCTGGAGACTGTCCAGTTGGCCTGATTCCCGCGCTCTTCTTCTCCTCTGGGTACTTGGAATCCCTCCCCGCCGCGTTTTCACACATCTCAGACTGAGGACGTTTTGCTTTGTCTTTGGACATCAACGGCCCGGACTGTCGTTTCCCCTTCCCCAGCTAAGACACCAGGGCTCGCCTCCCTACTCCTGGAATCAGCCTGCCTTATCTGTGTCCTTACGCTTGCTCGCCCTGGGTGACACCCTGGGC